CTGTAGGTTGGACGTACCCTTAAGTTAGGGCGGTCTGACCATTCGTCGTTCGTGCTTGTTCTAGGCAGGTTAGGCACACCCCTAAGTTGGGGCAGCCTAATCCTATGCCCTATGTAACTTTGTATAAAGCAAGCTAGGCATACCCTTAAGTTAGGGCAGTCGAGTCTTACGCTTCATGCCGTCAATTCAAGCAGAAGTCAGGCGTACCCTTAAGTTAGGGCGGTCTGGTCATATGCTTTATGACTAGAGTTTATCTGGAGTTGGGCATACCCTTAAGTTAGGGCAGTCCAGTTGTGCGTACTCTTACTTGTTTACTTAGGCAGGTTGGGCATACCCTTAAGTTAGGGCCTTGTGTGATCCTATGCCATAAGTGAGGGGGTTTACTAAAGGGAAAAACTGAATGATTGAATGAACTACTTGGGCAAACTAATGTGGGATTGTGAGAGATGCATGATTATGTATGCTTGTGGGCTCTCGCTTGGGGCGTCTTTTTTAGGTTAGTTGCCTTAGACGCTCGCCAAGTGCTGGAGCCATAGGTAGATCAGATGGATGTTGGGAGGGAAAACTTGGGATGAAGGTAGGACTAGCCCTGCTAGGAGTTGGGCCCAATGCCAGCCCACGGTCTCATCTAGAGGTCGTGCTGGTTGCCATTGAGTCTGAATCCTTACGCAGATGTCGGAAGTTAGTCCCAAGTATAGTTGCTTTGTCTTTCTGCTTTTTTCGACTTTGTATAAATCTTGCTAGCCTCCTGTTCCTACGGGAAACGCTGCCGAAATTTCTACAAATCTGGAGGAGTTAGTTATTTTTGGGCTTATAAAATTTATGAAAAGGCACTTTCCCTACGGGAAGCGCTGCCAAAATTTCGTAGAATTTAGGGAGTTAGAATATTTTGCAGCTGGGAGCTACCTAACAGCTCCAGCCTGATTAGAGGAGATACTCAGTAACTTGGTACTAGTAGAGGAGCTAGGATGCGACTAGGGGAATGTTCTCCCCTTGGCACAGGTATAAGTAGTACTTTCCTTTGGCCTGTACTGTGATGCAGGTTTCCGTGTTATCATCTGAAGGCTTGATCTAATCAAGCTATTTCGTCAAAAGGATTACTCTTCTGTTATCGCAGATAACAGGTCGGTTGCCGATTCGTCGGTTGACGACTCAACCCCAATTCACCCTCAATCCTCAGCCTAAAAAGGCTTTAGCCCTGGTGATTTTATTTGTTTTGTTAAGGTTTCACCCAGACTTTTATTGAATGGCCATTTAACAAAAGTACTGAGTACTTACTTATGGTTGGTTGGCTGGAGGTTGGGGCTTGCATGGCTGAAGCACAGGGTATGAGTGGAGAGGTTGGTTGGAATTGACCCCGTGTAGCGTGTGGATTTTTGCTTGATTCTGTGATGTGATTGCAGGTATGTATGGAAGAGTATCATCTGAGTTATGTTGAGTGATCGTGTCTTGGATTCAGATGGGCAACCCACATAACTGTTGAGAGAGTGGACTACCCCACAACCTTTGTGCTTGAGTGAGACTGATTTGTACCTGTCCTGATGAAGTAAGCGTACGTTCGGGTAACCCCCACAGGGCTAATTCCGACGGTGTCCTTTCTGTTGCTATTGAGAACAGTTGTTTTTTTTATTATTATTTATTTATCCTTGTTGAAAATTATTTTGGTGGAACGGTAAGGTTCCGGGCGGAAGGGTTAGAGTGTCGCTGGTGATGCGCCAGACAATTCACCACCGCTCCAAATTCCTTCCTGCCCTAGGGGCCGTCTTACCCCGCACCCTTTGGGACACCTCAGGGTGCAGAAGACGGAAAGGCCCTCAGGCCGGTTTTGCGCCCACTAAAAGGGTACGCCCCCCCTTAGCGCGCGCTTCATCCAATGCCTGACCGTCGGGAGCCACCCTATAGCCCAGAATAGGCCATTCGGGTATRGGCACCACATAATGCGCCGTCATCGYTTTTATCTGCGTAGGACTGCATTACAAATCGGTATGCGTGGGCCCTACGTTCGCGCGCTCTTATACTAAACCTCGCGCAAGGCAGTTACCGACTTCCACTGCGTAGAGTTATGGGTCGGATACTGAAGGGA